TATTATAAAATTAAATAATTAATATAATGACATAAAAATAATCCCGTGCAACGCACGGGTTAAAAAAACTAGTTAAAAATATTAAATTCAAACCCTAACTAAAATCGAGTGTTGAAAAAAATATTTTTTTTGAAAAATTATTATCTATTATATAATTTATCATTTATATATCAAAAATAAACTTTATCCTTGGTGTGAAGTACCAATACATGTATGCTACAAATAATGCAGCAAAACTGTACTTTTAGCTTCTGATCTTGTTATATTTGAAAGTTTTAACCCATCATCTTATATTATAATATTTTTAATTCTTCACCTTACTAGATTTATAAGATTTAACCTCTCATCTTATATTAGGATACTTTTAACCCCTCATTTATTAAAATTGAAGAAAATAGCTTTCATTTTGTAACATTTTGTTAATTTTGTTAATTAACTGTTAACTCTGTTAGCTGACTGTTAACTCTATTAGTTGATTATTAGTTGATTGTTAGTTATTAAAAATCTTTTTTTAATTAACAAAGTTAACAGAATTAATTTTATAATATTTCATTAATTCTGTTAATTAGTTATTAGTTGACTATTAATTGATAAAAATTTACTTTTAACTAATAAAATTAACTATCAATTTAAACTGAAGGTTATTTTTTTTTTATTTTTAATAAGTGAGGGAATAAATTTTATAAATTTAGTAAAATGAAATATTAAAATTTTTAAACTTGATAAAAATGAGAGGTTAAAAATGAGTTTTTGGCAAAATAATGCATAGGACCCATTCTCGTTAAACTCATTGTCAAGAGAAAAAAAAAAGTTAATGATAAAACAAAAAAGAGACGTGTGAATGGTACGAATGATATTCATCAGTCATCCACGTACTGGAAAAGAGAAAGGGAGAAAGCGTCAAACCAGAGCTGTCCATTTCACACTGGGTCTCGATTTTTTTAATAATACGTTCACACTTGTCCCATTTGGTGGGCGAAGCCTAAACTAATAGGCATACATAATATTGTATTTTTTGAAAAAGAGTATATGTTATTTTTTTTTTCATTTTTTTAAAATAAAAATAATTGGCAATTAGTATATGTTCATTTATTTATCCCATAATAGTTTTTTTTTTTTGGTAATTCTTTATTTCATAATGTTATCGTCGCACAAATTTTGCTTTTAAAACTTTCTTCCAAAATTAGATAATAATTTTCTTACAAGATTTACACGTAAAAATTTTCTTTAGACAAGATCTTAAATATAGTACTCCTTAATTTTAATATGTATTTTAAGTCCAATGTTTGAAATAGAAACAACAAGCGAGATGTTTGAACAACTAAATTTTGAGAGCAGAACATAAGAAAATTAATTTTCTTAAATATATAAAGTTGATGTAAGAGATTTAATATTAATATTATTTAAATAAATTAATTTTAACATGCATAAAATATGACCCAAAAATACTTTAGCCATTCAAATAAAAAATAATACTATAATTAAGACCAATTTAAGTTTAAATTTTACAATAAGTATGAAAATTTTTAAGAAAGATAAATTATTTCTTGTTATAACACATTACCAAAATATGTCTTAAACATTAGCTCTTATAAACTAATTGCTTGTTGCATTTAATATTTTAATTTGTATCAAGATTCCAATCATAATAACACTATATTAATATTTCCTTTCTCCCTATTGTAAATTATAACCGGTCAAATATATATAAGGAAAATAATTTTGAGATAATTTTTTATATTATTTTTTGGTATAATCTGATATGTCATTTAAATGATTTATTCTTTTAATTCATATGATACTCATAATATTAAATTCATCAACTTATTTAATGACATGTAAAAATTATATTAAAAAATAAAATAAAAAAATTATCTTTATAGCACCACCTATATATATATATTAAAAAACAACCAGACAAAAAGCAAGCACAGCAATAGCCAACACAACTTGAATTATGAATTACAGAACAACAAAGTCTGCCATGCAGGCATGCACTCAGCTTATCTGAACTTTTACGCAATTTTTTCGATATATATATATATATATATATATTTTACGCAAGTGATGTTGATAGTTTCAAAAATTTTATGTTTAACATAATTTTGTGGAGTTGCAGTCTTGCAGGTATTTGACTCTTTACGAAACGAAAATAACGAAACCTTGAGCCAACCAAGACCATGCCAACTTATTGTTTTGGAGTAAATCTAAGATAATCTTCTTGGATTATTAAGAAATACCATATATTTTTTTGAGGAATATAGTTTTTTTTTTAAAAGGTTTTTATGTTATAATATAAATTATATTGTATCTTAAAATATAAACTTTTAAATGAAAAAAAATCTTTTATCAAGAAATTCTTTTCTTAATTATTTTATAACTTAATACAGTTTCAACTATAAAATAATTTTTTATTTTTAAAAATATTAAGAGGTTGCTTGTTTGTGTTGTAAATTTTATAAGGTTTACTCTTTTTTTTTTTGTTTCTCATAAACTAAAAATTAAACTCTAAACTTATTATTAAGAATACAAAAAAATTTTATTATCAAACCATAATACTAATGATTTTATGAAATTTATATTTTTTTAAATATTAAGTGATTGCCTATTCATATTGTGTTGAAAATTCAGTGTAATTTAAATTACACAATACTATAGCCTTTCCAAAACTAATATGGTTAGTAAAATGGCCAAGCCCTGAACGCTCATGGGACAGATCACTCTAAGAAGCCTCACGCCCACGGGACAGATCACTCTAACTTCAACTTGTGCCATAATTTAAACATATAAAACAGAATAAAACGAGCACTTGCTGGCAACCAATACAATAGTGCTCTAGCTTCTGATTCAAGTATTCTTCTGTCTATTTTATTTCACTTTCTTTTTATTTAGTACTACCACCAAGATTTATATATATATTTTTTTGTCTCCCACCCACATGCCATTTTAAAAAGAAAAGATAAAATAAAAGATGAAGAGGAGAAAATCAGGCACATTTTCCTTTAATGCAGAAGCTGCCATATCCGTTCTACAGCTCCAGGCCCCTTGGGAGCCATCAAACCCACACGTGCAGAGGGGGTTCAAATTACAAAGGCTGATTCTATTCTAAGCTTCTGTCTCATCAATCTCCCAATTAATTCATTTCAATATTTAATTGTCTTGCATTTTTCTTTTATACTAGTAATTTCTAAGCTTCTGCTCCTCATGGTGTTGATTAAAACTTATTGCAATAGATAAAAGAAATTTTTTAACAAGTGTGGCATAGATTAAAGATTTTTTGTTATATATTTTTATTATTAATTTATATTAAAATTATAAAAAAAATTATTTTAAATAATAATATTATGTGAGTAATTTTATTTAGATAGTTTAATTTTTATTTGTTCTTACAAATTAATAAGATTAATAGAACTTGATCCATAGGGTTAAGTGGCTTCCACCACTCAAGTAAAAGTTCACTTTTTTTTTTTTTTGGCAACGGTTTAATTCGACCCCATGATAATTGTTTAAAAAAATAAATAAAACTATTAACAATATATAATATATATTTAACTTTATCTAAATCTATAAATAAATTAAGATAATGTCATACTCATTAATGTTACATTAAGAGGAAAAGAAAAGAAAAAAAAAAAGAGAACCGCCATCTGATTTTAATTTCGCATGAGGATCCTCATATTTTTTTAAAAAAATTTTATGGAAAAGAAATAAATAAATTTTTTTTTTTACAAAATAAACTATATAAAATTCATTTTATAAAATTATTTAAATATTTTTATTTTTATTTTTATATTATTTTTAAAAAAATATTTAAAAAATTTTACAGAAATATGCTATATATAATCCGTCCTGTACATCAGTTTCATCGGAAATATATTTACAATGTGCAAAATAAGAAGACAATAATGGTAGTCAAAAGCTACCCTGATGATGGGCATTTCGGTCTTTTAATAAGACGAGCAACTCGTCATGCCGTTTCCATCTAGAAGAAGAATCCGGACCAAGTCCCTGTCTCGGAATTACGCGCCAACGAAGACCCAGCTGTGTCCTCCACGTGTGCACTTCCGCAAGATGACTGCGTCTTCTCCACTGATATCTCACCACGTGGCCCGCAAACAAACTGGCTTTAGACCCTGTCCACCACGTGGCGCCTCTCAAACTACCCAGATCATTTTTTTTTACCATATATCATGGGTGGTGCTATTAGGATTTATTTTTTATTTTTTTTTTTTTTTGCAAGTTTTACATGTGATTAAATAAATAAATATATTTAATATCATAAATTTTATATAAATTAAAAAATTAATTATTTTAATGATACATTAAATTATATAAAAAATAAAATAAAATAATTATTTCAATAACATTTTTCTATCTACCACGGTAGGTTAGCAAGGTAAAATTAGTACGGCCGAAAACACCAGGTGGCGATAAAAGGAAATCACCGTACGCGGCCCACAAAAGAATATTCTCGATCAACGGTTCAGTTCTCATCTAATAGTACGAGGTCCCCACTTCGGATCTGAGCCGGTAAAAGTTTAATTTCAGATTTATCTTCTACTACAGGCAAACATGCCCGGGAAGTGAGAATTATATTTAAGAGACCCTGTACTTGTTTTTGTTTCATTTCAGGAAAACTTTCTTCAGTCAGGTAAGTCCCTCTACTATAGAATATGACGAGTTAAGGCCAATGTTAATTTAGAATAGAAGGCCAATCTAAACTTCAACCTAAATTAAGGGACTTGACTGAATAAGGCTTTAGTGCATAAGCTCATTAACTTCGGTTTTAAAACTCTAATGTGTAATTATATTTTTATAACTTCAATTTAAGATATTATTTCGATTACTTATTTAGATATGTTTGATAGTTGAAATTTAATAATTTAATAATTATTATTATTTATAATTTAAAATATTTAATATATTCGATTAGAATTAATAACTGTTTGTAAACCCTCAAATCAAGTGTCCTACAAAAAATATGATTCAATTTTTTTTAAATTTAATTCTTGTGTTTGATAAACAATTAGACCAAAAAAGTTTTGTTTTAGACTTTTTAATAGATAAGAGTTTGAGTTTTTATATTGAAGGTATCTAATTTAAATTGTAAAATAGATAAAGAGAGATCTTTTATTGTATAATCCCTTAATGTATTAAAAAACCTTTTACAATATACTTTTAAAAGGGTTTTTCTAAACCATAGGGCACCTTAACTCTATTTTCATGATGTTCAATTTTAATTGAGCAATTAATAAAATTATAATTAATTTTTATTTTTTTAATAACAATTAATAAAAAATAAAATTAATTAACCCTGTTCCCTACAGGCATTGTAGAAAAATTCCTTTAAAAATTGGGTTAAAAAAAAAAACCATTTGGATTGTATGATACAGCGGTTTAATTGACCTAAAAATAAATTTAAGTGCTAAGTTGAGAAGACAAAAAAGTTCAAGAGCTGAATTAGAAGGAATTCTCCCGTGTTCGCGGCGTGTTTGGATCGTGTAAAAATGAAGCAGTAAAACCAAAGGGAAAATTCTGAAAAAGAAAAAGGACTTATTTTATTTATTTACTGAATTTTTTGTTTTTTTCGAATTATAGTACCATTTTTAGCCATCGGTTTAAGACCTTTCTTTTTCACATTTACCATGATACGCGGTCGAAAAATCCCCAATAAAATGCCTCTTCCTCCATTAGGGTTTCATTATTCTCTCCACCTTCCACCGCATTTCTCCGATACCCTCTCCCCGCTTCCGGCCGAATTTACATCAACTGTTTGGATCTAATTCGTTTGGATTTTGGGGGGGTTCTGATTATTATTTTTGTCTTTTTATTTGGAAATTTCGGTGTGAGGATGCCCGCAACGGATTACCAGGGGACGTCGTCGGCGCCGTTTTCGAATTTCGGGCGTTCTATTCTGAGTCTGCGACGGGATCAGGTGCACGCGATGGAAGGAGCTCATGACGGGGGTGTACAGGTCGACGAGCTGGAGGCCTTTCAGAGGCAGGTTGCTGACCTGTTTCTAAATTTGTCCTCGGCGTCGGCGAGTGAAGAGCTGCTTTCACTCGCCTGGGTTCGGAAATTGCTTGATTCGTTCCTCTGCTGCCAGGAGGCTTTCAGGGCTATTCTCTACAACAACAGCGCTCAGGTTCTGAGACCTCCCATGGACAGGTTGATTGGGGAATTCTATGAGCGTAGCGTCAAAGCTCTGGATGTTTGCAATGCTATCCGTGATGGAATCGAACAGATCAGGCAATGGGAGAAGCTGCTTGAGATTGTGCTCTGTGCTCTGGATAATAATGATCAGAGGGCCTTGGGTGAAGGGCAGTTTCGCAGGGCAAAGAAGGCACTGATTGATTTGGCAATTGGGATGCTTGACGAGAAGGATTCTGGTCAGACTTTGGCTCATAGGAATCGTTCCTTTGGTCGCAACAGTAATAGCAGCCATGCCTCCCGGGATCACCATCATCGTTCCCTGGGACATTTTAGATCCTTGTCATGGAGTGTCTCGAGGTCGTGGTCTGCCGCTAGGCAGCTGCAAGCCATTGGGAGTAACCTCGCTGCACCTCGAGGGAATGAGATTTTGGCCACAAATGGGCTGGCAGCCCCTGTTTATACCATGGGTTCCGTTTTGTTGTTTGTAATGTGGGCCATGGTGGCTGCAATTCCATGCCAGGACCGTGGTTTGCAGGTTCATTTCAATATTCCCAGGCAATTTGTTTGGGCAGCACCATTGCTTTCTCTGCACGATAGGATTGTGGAAGAGTCAAAGAAGCGGGACAGGAAAAATGCTTGTGGTTTGTTGAAGGAAATTTATCAGATGGAGAAGTGCTCGAGATTGCTGAGTGAGTTGGCTGATTCTGTGCAGTTCCCTTTAACAGAGGAGAAGGAGGCAGAGGTCAGGCAAAGAGTGAAGGAACTGGCACAGGTGTGTGAGACGATAAAGGAAGGTTTAGACCCATTGGAAAGGCAAGTCAGGGAGCTTTTCCATCGGATTGTGCGGAGCCGAACTGAGGGGCTTGACTCTTTGGGAAGGGGACACCATCCGGAGTAACCGTCTGTCTGCTGATCTATGGTGGGTGTCAAACGTCAAACTTGAAAAATGTTGATTTTAGCGTCTGGGATTTTGAGGAAGACAAGATTAGAAGAAGGATGTCCATGTGGAGTAAGGGAAGAAGAATGTTGAGGCATACGCCCGAAATAAAAGGGTAAGGAAGAGGGATTTTCTTGTATTTATCACCATATATTGTGTAAAGATAGCATATGAAGCTGGACCTTTTCGTCCTCTTGCTGATGTCCAGCATTTGTGTGGTTATTGTATAATCGAATTTCTGAGTAAATTGCATCGGAGTTCTGTAGCTGATTTCATGTAATTGCAGATTTCTTTGATAACTGCCCCAACTTTGTTCGGATTTTGGAGTCATTCTTCTTGAGCCTTGAAATCCAGTGTAAATTTCTTTTTGAAGCCAAGCTGTTGCTAACATATTAGTTTGCTTGTGCAATGATATCTGGTGTTCTTTTATTTTCTATTCAAGTCCATATTTGATTGAAAATACTTGGTAACATGTCTAACCACCCAAGTGATAAGCATCTCCATCCACCCTGGTTGTTGAAGTCAAGTTCCGTTAGCATTCTTTGATTTCTTTCTTTCTTCCCTCATTGTCTTTCCATGATTTCAGTAACCAATTACATGCAGAAGCAGTGTATATACAAATTTGACTATGAATTTAATGCATTATTACTTTAAAGGAATTATGCTGCTAAAAACAGAGTTTCTGCTGCACTTTTCCAATTCGTAAGGCCTAACCTGTTGGGAATTAGTCCCCTCTATCATGCGTTTACTTTGTAACAAGAGTGGTGACCTTGACTTTGATTTGCTTTCTTAACTGTTCATATACTACTATACCAAGCAAGTTAGTGGTATTTGTTCTTGATTCATATAAATTGGTTGGAATTCTTGACAATCCTGACCCTATACAAAATGTGTAGTTGCAAAGAACCTAATTTTGTACATCAAGTTGACCGTGTTTCCCCTTCTTAGCTTGTACTGCTATTAAATTGGGAAGAAAGGTTGCATCCTACAATTTGCTCCAGGAAGCTATGATTGCGTGGTTATTTTTCAAGTAAAATGTATTTTTATCCTTACTCGGATACACTCCCATCATTTACTCCATCAAGTTCAGCAATCTCCATGAGAAATTTTGTTCTTGCCTTCTTGCACGGTCTAGGTGAGCATAACTCTGTTTATTGGGACTTTGGTGGAATTTATTCACCTTTCTTCTCTCTCTGTGTTTTCTCAGGAATATTGATTTTGCTAGTGAGTGCTTCAATTTTTTGGCAATCTAGGGAATGATTCATTGGGGTGCAAACAGTTTGGATCCTCATTTGTGCTCTGCATGAAATGAAGTGTTATCCTTGCTTAGATATTGAAGTATTGATTACGCTGCTTTCTTGAGTTCAAGATGTGTGCTTCACTGTAGGCTCTGTATGCCCTGTACCTTGAGGCAAATTTCTCTTTCTTGCAGGTGTTAATTAAAGCAGGTAGATCTATTATTGGCTCATGCCCACTTGAGCAAAGGACCTGGCTAAGGCCACCTTGAAAAAGGGTAAGACTATTAAATCTTTGGATGGGGACTGTCCAGGTATGTCATGTGGATTGAAGTCTAATGGTGAAACAATAGCAACCTCAATGGTATGACATGAATGTGATATTTGTGAAAAAGTAGTGGAGGGCTTTTTCTTTTCCTAGAAGGTCATAGCATACCTGATTCTTTTATCTGAATCCTTTTCTCTGAGAATAAAATCCAGAATAGTCTTAACTGGCACCAGTTTGTTACATGATGTAGATAATTCATTGCCAAATTAATAGGCACAAATATCTCCCTGCTTCTTTGTTTTGTAGATTGGGTTTTTTGTTTTGGGAAGGTAAGCTTTTTCCACAACCTCAAGAATATCATCCCCTTGTAAATTACATGGATATGATATGCTTGACAACGACTGTTGAATTCAGCAAAAATTCATTTATTGCTATTATGGACTAATTGCTTGCTCTTATATGCCAAATGACTTGTATAGTGTATACCATCATTAGGCAAGTTATGTTTGCCAAACCCAACCAGGTTAGAACAACAGTATTCTTTATCATATTCAATTGCACGGCTTGGAGGAATCCAGTATTCTATCTCATAACAATAGCCTCTTATCTCTGTTAGTTGAAGGGTGCCCCATGAACTGTCGCTATGGTCCCATCCCATCCTTGGTGTGTGAAGCAGTGCTATGGTTGGTGGAATATAACACCCCCTGGTTTGAGCAGTGACAAGACTCTATCAGGCCTACCAAAGGGTCTCGATAGACCACTGCCAGCCAGAACATCTGATAGCTGTACATAATCCTGAAGCTTTAATTGCTAAAAGCTGCGTGCCAATGCCATAGTGCTGGCTGGAAATTGAAAAATGTTAGGAATGCCTGGATTTGAACTGTGAAAATGACTAGCGAACTGTGCCATTGAAAATGCCATTCAGAACTTATCTGGTTTAGACCAACCTACTAATATTGTTCTCATGTATGTGTATGGTGTACTTAGGAGATTTCCCTTCCAAGTCCACAAAGGAGGGATTCTGGGCTCATATCTAACAGTTTGGTGCTTTGATTATGGCTCAATTCGTAGTGCAAGCTTGGTTTTCTCTAATCTATAGGCCGAAGGGTGGTTGGACAATACCCAACATATTGTGAGCTCTCCATCTTTTGAATTGTCATCCATACAATCTTTGCATCACATCAATTATGTACCCAACTATACAACGCATCATTAAAAGCTAGGTTTGTACTACTAACTGAAAATTGTTAGTTTTGAAAATTCTATAATACCAAGCAATCTAAATTGTAGTGTATCAAAAAAAAAAAAAAAAACACACTTTGAAATGTTAATTACTCATAAAATTATGTTATTTGTGTTAGAATTTTAAAGATATATATACATAAAATTTAGGATATCAAAATTTAATAAAATAAATAACTTACGTAATTAAATCTTTATAATCAATATGTTATCGAAAAATGTTTAAGGGTTTTCTACGATCATCATAATTTGGAATCTCATGATAAAATCTACAAATCAAATATAGTTGGTATTGAGATGTAGATCTCTCTCCCTATTCAACTTTTGTATAATAACAATCAATGAGGCATATCACTTCTTAACTCTATTATTTATAGAAATAAGGTTTTCTGATTGGTAGAAGAGACTTAACTCATTATAATTATAATCTTTTGGGCACCCTAATCAACTAGCCCACTTTTAATTTCATGCTCTACACTTGCTTATATCACACCATATAAAGGCAGAATCCTCAAATCCACCCCTTAACTAAGAAGGTAAGGACAGATCCACCTCTTAAAAAAATGTAGGAACAAATTATCCTTTTAAATTATAAATCAAGACAAATCACTCATTTTTTAATGTGGCAAATAAAATTATGATGCCATACATTAAAAAAGAGTAATTTGTCATGATTTATAATTTAAAGGAACAATTTATCCTTACATTTTTTTGAGAGGCGGATATGTTCCCGCCCCTTATTTTACAGGTGGATTTGGGGGTTTTGTCCCATATAAAATTGAGATAAAAACGTAGGTCATTTGGGTCACATAACTTTATTAGACTTTACTAGTTTTCCATTTGATCCAATTTTGAAAACCAAATACAATTAACAGAAACCTACATAAAATTTCTAACATTCTCTCAATTTAGCAACGTTAATTAATTTTAAATTTTAAAAAATATATTTTAAAAAATGACCATTGAGTTAAACACAATTTTAGTGACCACAAATATAAATCAAAATCTTAGCTTAGAATTTCATTTAATGAAAATACCAATACCAAACTGTATGGTCATTGTATACTAGCAACACAAGACCCCTCACAATCACAACTATCAAATATCTTCACTAGCATTAATTTCAATAAGTATGATGAAGTTAGCATGGTTTGACACAATGTAATCCATATAATATATAACATATCAAAACCACAATGATTCTCTTTATGGTTTCAAAAAAACCCTTTTATCAAGATCTAATCCCTTTTGCACTTGTCCAAGGAAGCTTTTAAACTTTATTCTAGTTTCATAGAAACCCAACAGATAATCTTTTTTACTTTTCTACAAAAACCTTTACACTTCAAAAGAAATTCACACACTTTCGAAAAAACCTTTTACTTTATACCTAGAGATCTTATGATTAAAATCTATATGAGCTCTTAAAAATCATGAGTAGAATATACATACGTAATTATAAAATAACAAATGATACAATAAGCAAAATAAGCTTATTATTAACAAAGAAATCAACTTCTTTTACTAGTCAAGAATATTTAAAACAATTATCATAGCTAACTAACAAAGTTATAATCTTTTGATAAATAAATTAGTTAACATAGTCACAATATGTATGACTATAATTATTATTCATAATTTCACTTCATAATTACACTTTGATTTCACTTTATAAGGTAAAATCAACAATTAAATTTAATTTGTCTTTTCTATCAAATTTTGTAAACAAGCTATCCATATAGATAACTAACACTATCAAATATAAAAAATCATAATGGAAACAATCATCGATTATCCATTACTCAAAATAACATGATCTTTAAATCTTGATTAAACACAAAAGTACAAGAATAACAAGATTTTATCAACTTTAATAAAGTAATTGCATATTTTACAATAATTATTTTTCATATAATTCATAACACGTGTAATTAAGAGTTTTTTCATTACAACTAAGCAACTTTCTCATATCCATAATCTTATCATTATACATTGAGTAATCAAGAATAATAAACTATTTAACTCTCACTAATTTTCTAAGCACATTAGTCCATCATAGTTTTTAACTATCTTTTAATCAAGGAAATAAATTTCCTTAAATAGTAACAAATATTTCACAAGATTTTAAATTTTGCATTACTTTTATTATAATTGATAATGCCTTTTACCATTAAGAAACATGTATTTCTAAACTTAATTAAATCACATATAATTAAGATACAAATCACTTAAAAGATACATAAATTAATACCAATCATATATTAGTAATATAATTTTAATTATAATCCTTTGCTTCTATAAAATTGCCTTTTTAAAAAAAAAAATAAACCTACATAATGTAATTTAATTCATAGCATGATTCCCTTTAACTCGCAAGACTTCAAGATACAACTATATTCTACTTTATTTTCATTTTATGTTAATTAAATAAGTTCATAATTAAATCTTAGCAAGTCATTTAGTTGGAAAATCCCTTTAGTAAATATATATAAATACTGATAATTCCTACTAATTGTTCCCACTACCTCAAGTTGATGCACATTATAATCACCTTTTACCAAAACACTACATGCACTAATATAAAAGTGGCAATTTTATTCTTTAACTTTAATAATTCATATTCGATCTTCCCAATAGATCAATTAATTTAACGACGTGGTAGTTTAAAAAATTAATAAATATAAAACTTTATTAAATTTTAGAAGTTTTCATTATAAGTAAATTAATAAAAATGATCTCATAAAAGCAGCATCAGGGTTTTTTTTCTCTCATGCTTTGCCTAGGGTTAGGGGCGGCGGCTACGGGTTTCTCCCTAGGGTCTCTCTATGGTTTGGAGTTCCTCCCTCTTCCTCTTCTTCTCTAACAAGGGTTTCTCCTCTTGCTCTCTTCCTCCATCCTCGTCATCTATCTTGCTTTGGAAACTTCAACCCAAGGGACCACAAGGCAGCGGCTCATTTCGATCCACATCGGCTGTTGATTTTTAACGACTGTGTTTAGATACCAAGGGACTTGATCCAACTAGTGGTTGGATTTCTCCCATCCTCTAAATCTGATTTTCACTTATGCATGTCTCCTCAAATGAGATGTTGGCAAGGGTGGCAATTGGACAAACTAGTGCACTCCACTTTCCGAGCTGGCAGCCAAATACCGATATGGCTACCAGTGGCACTTCGGGTTCTGATCTGCACGGGAGCATGCTACTCACGTTGGCAAAGGGGCTCTAGTTCCCTTAACAAAGTTTCGCTTGCAAGCATTTTCAAAGGATCGGTAATGATGGGCACATGATTGAATGTAGTCAGCGAAAATTAGGGCGGCAACTTGTGGGTTGGGGACTGTTTGTTGCCGAAATCCCTTGCTCTCCCCATGAAGCTGGTTAAATAGGCGAGGACTTGTCTAATAGCTTCCAATGCTCATAGCGACTCTCCTTTCGACTTTAGTAGCCCTATTTAGCCCATACAGCGATTGCAATTGCAATCTTTAGTTGCAGATGGCTCTCTTTACTTAATTATCTATATTCGTCATTAGCATAGTTTAAATTTGTTACTAGGCTATAGGTTATGCTTCTGATTCTATTTTTTAGGCTCTCATGCTTTAGGCTATATGCCATGTGATGGAGTTTTTTACTGTACTTTCTTATTCTTCAATATATTTCTCCATTTTTTTATCAAAAATAAAAATAAAAATGATCTCATAGAGAATAATCCTCTTTAGACATAAAATTCTCTATAAAACCAAAATAAGAACACTTAATAACCACTCATACTTCTTTCATTCAATATGCATAATCACCCTTTTTGGGTAAGTAATCATACATACTAATTTCAAGATGCAGCATTCCAAAATTCTCATTGAGAAATATGTAAATTTTAATAGATAGCCTATTTTTGGCAGTATCATCCATGTCAATTCACACATTTCTACTATAATACTTACCTAATATAACATTTTAGAATCTTTATTGAGAAACATGTGAATCTTAATAAATAGTCTACTTTGATAGTACCATTCACATTGACTCACAAGTTCTCACTTGAACAATTACCCTAAATAATTTAACATTCCAAAATCCTTATTAGAAGATTAACCAATCTCTCACTAAAACATAATTTCTTTATATCTCAAAAATATTTAGTGACAAAATCATTAGTCTTAATAAATAAACTCTTGATATTCATATTAATTATAAAACATTATATTGACTATCATCTATATTTATATGGTTCTATGATCCCTCGCAATCATATATTTTATAATTTTTAATAATGGTGATTCCTTAATATATAAATTGAGAAAATTTTAGAACTTGTGAGAAGACTTTCAATATTAATTTTTTTATTTTAATATTTTAAAAAAATCATATAAAATCCTATCGGTATCTTAGATAAATCAAGATCACAAATTCTAAAATTCTAAGAACTTTATCAAATATTTTTTTGATTTTTTTTTAATTCCATGCATTGCCACAATTAGACTATTACCAATTTATATAATAGACATTTATAATTATTCCTTAAAAGTAATTAATTGTCAACAAAATTTGTTATATAATCAACAATTTAACCTTAAACTATATATCGTGAGTTATACCCAAACTTTAATTTCACAAAACATTTTTAGTAATTTAAAAATCAAGTATTCAAATTGTTTACACCCATTTTTGCAACAAATAGAATGGTGCCACATGTCATCCATGTTGGAAGGAATTTTGTTTGTTGCAAAGTTGTTGATGTAGATATTTCCAGATAAGGTTCAAATGTTATTGCCACAATGCCAGCAAAGCTATTCGTGCGAACTTCTAGGAGCATAATCGACAGCATCAACAGATTAATCGATTTGTTACAGATTTCATACTGCCATTGGTTTTCAAGATGCTGTCGTAGATCTCCAAGCATGTTGCAAAGGGGTGTTTACTGCTATAAGTATGCAAAGAAGAAATGAAGCAAAAAAGACTAGCCTCTTACACAACTAGCCCAGTGCTATCTACATTTCAGTTTCATAAGTAATGTCTTAATTTAGATCTAACTTTCTCAAACAACTTTCTTAATTTAATCTTTAGTTCTATGTTGCCATTAGTTTTAACTCTAGTTTTTGTTATTTTGTTATGAACACCTTTACTGATGTATTTAGTTTCCTGCAATTCAATTTACTGCACTTTGCCTTAAATTCATCTTCTTAGCTTCTTTTAAGTTTAGTTTTATGCTTCAACTTTAATTTCATTTTTTACGCTTTCATGCTTTCGCAATGACATTATGCTTCCTATTTGCAATTTTGTTTTCTTGCCATGCACTCTTTTTCTATTCTTTTCCTTTCTTTTTCTTTTTTATTTTGATCAACAAACTAACATTTTGG